AAATAATTTGAATATATTATTAAATTATTAACTAATAAATCAAGAAAATTATATTGATTTAATATTTCAAATAATATTTTTGTATTACGTATTGAGTAAATAATAAATAATAATAATGGTGATGATAATCATGGATTTGTTGTTAAATAATGATGAATTATTGGTATAAAATAATTTGGTTGTGATATAAATGATGATAAACAATAATAAATACTATCATCAACAGATATTAGATCATTTATATTTAAATGTATTGTTTTATGTATAAATGATGAATATTGATTTGTTGATGTTATTGATGCAGCAAGAAATTTTGTTGAAGAATTTAATGGTATTGATGGTAATGAATCTAGTGATGAATGACATATTGAAAGTATTGAAAGAAGTTTTTCAATATAAATTGATTCCAGTATATCATCAAAATGTTCATCGTCATTTTCATTCGTTTTTATATTTGTTTCTTCATTTTTAAAACGTTTACGTAAGTTGAAATTAATATAGATGAACATTTAAATATAAATTTTTGTTGTTTAAAATAAGATAATTTTTTTTTTGAATAATATTAATTTTGTATAATAAATTATTATTTGATAATATAATATATAATGAATTGAGATTAAGCGTTTTAGAAATATAAGTTATTGTCTTTGAATGATAAAGTTAAATAACATGAGTTATCGCATAATAAGTGATAATTTTATATGATGATAAAGATATATAATACGTTGAAATTAATATAGATGAACATTTAAATATAATTTTGGTGTTTGAGATAAAATTAAATTTGAATAACATTAATTTTGTATAATAAATTATTATTTAACGATATAATATATAATGAATTGGGATTACTAAATATAAGCATTTTAAAAATATAAGTTGTTATCATTGAATAATAAAATTAAATAATATGAATTATTGCATAATAACTAATAATTTTATAAGGTGATAAAGATATATCATAAGTTGAAATTAATGTAGATGAACATTTAAATATAATTTTGTTGTTTGAAATAAAATAAAATTTTTTGAATAATATTGATTTTGTATAATATATTATTATTTGACGATATGATATATAATAAATTGAGATTAGTAAACATAAGCATTTTTAAAGTATAAGTTGTTATCTTTGAATAATAAAATTAAATAACATCAATTATTGCATAATGAATGATAATTTTTATAAGATGATAAAGATATATCATAAGTTGAAATTAATATAGGGGCTATTCCATGGAGTTTCGACCATAAAAAACACAAGTATCTTGGAATCAATCGAAAGTCATTTCACCTTGTAGACATCAACAAGCTACACCCACAGCAAAAAAAAATTTTACATTCAAGTATTCTACTTTTATTACTTTCATGTTTATCATCAATAACATGTCATCCACATCGTAAACAAAAAGATTTAATATCAACATCACGATCTATTCCATCAACAACAACAATAATAAATAATGCAACAATAATTGATAGTGATGATGATGAATATTATGAAGATGATATTGAACATATTGAATCAAGAACAACAACATACAGGTTTTGGTACAGGTTCAACACATTCACAATGGAAACCTGATGGAATAATTCAAATGCAGGGTGTGGGTGTCGGGTGTGGTTGTTTTCTCATCCACACCCGACACCACACCCACACACCCACGCCCACACACCCACATCTCACACACCCACACCTCGCACACCCACACCTCACACACCCACACCCAGTTCTCTCCTATTTGGCCCTTATGTTTATTTGAACGGTGACATAGCTATGGAACGTGGTATAAATGGAAGATTTATTCCACATTCAGTGTAGCATGATATATCTATGATGGGATACGCCCCTTACATGAATCAAGAAGCACTCAATGGTGGTTATTATCAGATACTTCGTATTCATAGACGTTTACTGGCAAATATAATTCATGCGTTTCTTGTTATCCAACTAGATCTTTGCTTTGGACGTCATGATGTTTCAATACCATGTGTAACAGAAAATTTTAATGAATGGACTTGGTACCAGTTTCTACATTTACTATCTCGCTTTATTTATTCATGGGTAAATCATCGATCGTTGATTGGACCTTGTGGTAATCATTGTTCAAAATGTTTAGAATTCTTTTCTATAAAAAATCTTGACTTTCTTTATCTAAAACAGAGCAAGTATCTAGGGGATATTGGAATATTATTTCGTGACGGCACAAAATCATTATCATTCATTAAAACATACTCAATACCGAATATGATAACATATCATTTAGTAATACTGGATCATGATTCATTAAAATAAAGTTAAGAGATAATTTAACATAGAATCTAATAT